CGGGAGAGTGAGTGTGTATCAAAATTTCCCCAGTGGCAAGGAAAGCCTGTTAAGGTGCACAAAAGCTTACACAAAGGCATGTAAACAAGCACACGCAAATACACACACAACCGCATGCATGCAGCCATACTTCATTCTTGAGGTTCTGCTCGAAATGGAAGCCCTATCTATCATTGTTCAGTGCATTTAGAGTAAAGTAGCTCAGATGAAAGCAAGAGCTGAAAGATGAATGGAAAGAAGGATGAGAGAGGAAACGAGAGGAGGAAGGGGTTTGTTCTTGGAACACGGCTCATAGTAAGAAAAAAAGAGGAAAATGGCAGAAAATGTAGGCGCATGGTAACTGTGAGATCCGTAAAGGGGGTGAACGAATACGAGAGTAAAACTGACTGACAACAATAATCTCACAAGCTGACAGATGGGTAAATACAGATGGACATAATAATGAAATACACAATCTGAGTAGCTCTGTCCTTTATATACAACTAGACAACACAATCATAACAGTCTGGAATATGGGCTGTTATTGTCACGATTTCCTTTTAGCTGCAAAATAGTTCTAAGGTTTTTCCTCACAGCTAGCTATGATGGTGTCACCAGTCCAAAGTGCAACTTTTTGCAACAGCAAATCCAAAATGCTTCATAGAGGCAGTCGGGAACACTTACACGACCTATCTAACACTGCCACAGGGCCTGAAACGAAGCCGATTCAAGTTGCCGGATGTATTGTCATGTTTCCAGAAAGTTTCTCTTAGGTTGGTTTCTACTTACTGTCAACAACATAATTTGTTGCTTGTCTTCTGTTTGAAAATGCACATATTCTGGACTGATGATTGAACCAAGAGTCTATGCAAAAAAATAACTGGGACTTTGACTTCCATCACATTTCTTCCACCGAGCAACTCTATAGCCACTCTGCTTGATGTCCTCTAAAAGCAGACCAAAGCTGCTCCTTTTCCTCCCTCTGACTCAGTCTCCCACAGGTGTCTCACTTGATCTTGTATTCGCACAGATGTACACAGAAGGCCATGACTGACAAGGTAAGGGATTGTGGGGAGGTGTACGGGTGAAAGAGGAGAATTACCATATGTAAAGAATGGAGGTGCCAAGGTCTCCCTTTTTGTCTCTAGATAAGCAGGCGGGCTACAAAGGAGAAGACAAGCACAGGTAGATGTACATACACAGTGCAGACACAAATGGATCCATGTGAATGCAAAACAAATCCGTTTAAGAACAAAAGGCACGCACAGACTGAGTGTGACAGTGAGAGGAGACAAGCAGGTATCACTGTCTGTCCAGGTGTGTTGAAGATACACTGTGGGCCACTGTCTGTCTACGGCTTGGTCGGTGACGATGATCGTGGCAGTGCAGAGATCTGATTAGCACTGGGAGAGAGGCTGAGTAAGGTTTCTCATCTAGATCAGCTTTCAAACCCATGTTATACAGTAGTGGTACTTTTGTTTCTGCTAGGGAAATGGACAAACTGAGACTACCTATGGGAATAAGAAACTCCTTTTTTGTTGTTGTTGTTATACATGTGTGAAAAGAAAAGGGGGCAAAAGTTGTCTCATGTGACCTTTAAGTAACTGTTTCACTCTGTGGCAAGTTACTGCAAGAGAAGACAAGACTTCCCTGTTTTTGGAGTCCAAGAGCTATGGAGCCCTCCCGGTATCTCATTAGATC